GGAGGAAGAGAATACCCAAAGGCGGGGGAAAATAAATCAACGCGGAGATGACTGTGGAGTGCAAGAGGAAAGGACACGGAAGCATTGGAATTAATCATGGACGCTGAAAATGCCCCCCAACACGAAGAAGAAGATTTGAATTAAAGGGCCTCGGTTCTCGTCGCTTTCAGATCAACGAGGATGGGAAAGTGTACACAAAAGCGTAGAGAGAACCATGTGATATCCCACGTCACGAGGTCGTCGGCCAAATCCTGTCGCTCGAGAAGGTGTGCGAGCGATGGGAAGGGGCGAGGGCATGCGATCATGTGATTTTCATGTGCCGAGGCCCAACGCAGAGAACTCTATTCCAGGAATAATAATGGATGAGCTCGCCCGCCCGCCCGCAGCCAGCTCGAATATGATATTGTAAGATCGAGGCTCCAACCCGGTCGGAGGTCGGAGTAGCCCACCGGCGGGCCAAGAGGGTGCCGTGTTGCGGAGTGCGGAGGAGGGGCAGAGGAGATTGTAACTGAATCTGATCAAACGCGGACCAGCAGCGAAGGAGAAGGGATGGAACTCGCGCAGCGCCGCGACATGTGCCGGAGCGAGGATCGGCCGGAGGATTAGGACCACGTAATGAGGCGCAGCTTGCGTCGCTGCCTGCAGGCCGGGGCGGGGTCTAATGACCGAGAACACCATAATCACCCTCTGCCCGCCTGCGGCCGAGGGAGGGAAAGGTTACGGTACGAACGTATTGATGCTTTTTAGGGTTTAATGAATGTAGATTCTATGATTCCATGAACTGTCGCCCTGACTCACTCCTCCGCTGTGACGCCAAGTCGCGAGGCGCCCAGGCGACGACGATCACGAATGCAACGGGGCTGCGCCTGCGATTGGTGCCAAGGCCGCGGGTGGGCCCGGGCGCCACCGTCGGTGTCAGGATTTAGCGACGCCGCCGAAGAAAAGAAAGAGCCGTGGAACCCCCGCGGGGACCGGCGGGTAAGCGCGGGATGCGTGCCAGAGCGAGAGATCCAGCGGACGACGCGCGCGGATTCCTGCCTTCGCGAGGGTGCCCTGTCGGAAAGCTCAGCATCTCCCAGCTTCTATTATCTGCTGGTCAATCTACTACTCATCACGGCAAGTACCTACCTCACCCTCGAAGTATGTATCTGTACTGTACTTCCCGGATCGCTCTCTTTCTGCTGCTTCTGTGCGGCCGGGTCCAAATCACCAACGCCGGGCGATGGGCGACGGGCAGGACGGGATTCCAGAGATTTTCCGCAATGGATGGAAGGATGATGATGGTCCCTGTCCTGTCCGAGATTCTTGAAGTCAGCTCACATTTAGGTCAAACTCATACATTTGCGTACTGCCCTTGGTCGTAGTAGCGAGCGAGGCGGACGGTAGGCTGTGGCGTACAGGACATTGAAAACTCCTCATATATGCTTCGTCGGAGTAATGCAAGCCCTCGCTCCATCCATCGATCCGGCGATCGGGACGGATCCGATCGATGCGGTCTGTTCGATCTGCTGCTGCTGCTGCTGGTGCGGAAGGCACGATGCCAAATGCTCGGATCTGTCGAGTTTTCGGACAAGTGAGCCGAGAGAGGATCACGAGACAAAACAAAGTGCGATGCGAGGCGATGGGGCAAAAGTGGCCGAATCATAAAGCTGGTCATTCTCCGTGGGCCGGGCCGGGCCGGGCCGAGCCGGGCCGGTATCTGCGCTCCAAGGAGAGGGCTTAAATACGTCGGCGGGGGATATGGGTCAGGTCACGACAAGACACGACAAGAGAGGAAATGACATGAAAGGTTCATTTGGCTCCGGTCCGCGTGTGCCGTAACCCCCGTGCGTGGTTCCGAGGTGGGCCGGGCCGGGCTCGGGTGGGTTCGCCGGCTCGGGGGGTGCTTGGTTATGGACGTTGCGCGAAGCCCCCATAAATTCCCGCCGCTGCAGGGGCAGGCAGGTAGGCGCTGGGCACTGTTCCGGGACAACGGCCGAAGCATCTCTCGCGGTACCGGCCTACCGCAGGCGCCGGACTTAGGTCAGGGAATGACGAGCCTAGCTGGCGCCGACGTGGACCGATGGCCGGGGCGACCGTCGTCTGCATGCGCTTATCGAGCGTACATGAAAATCATGTGACTTTTCGGCTCTATCTGATCGAGCTTTCAAAGTCGGTCAATGCGCGAGGACTGATCTGATCGTATTTTCGACCGAAACCAGTTTCCTCTCTCGCCGGTTTTGATATCAGGATGTGAATTCTCCTTGTGTGAATCTGAAGAGGGGCCTCGGGGAGGATGAGTGAAGCCGTGAAATTTCCGGGCAATGCAGCGGGCCATGAACTCGTGATGATTCAACTCGTGTACGTCGCAGCCCAGGATTTTTCTCCAGAGGAGGGTTGTGATTGGATAAGGTCGTCTCTTTTAGGCACAGGTACACAAAGCCACAAAAGGACGATTTCGGTGCGTAGCTCGGTCTTCCCGTGGCATGTTCAGAATGAATGTTGTTGTTGTTGTATCAAATGTGGCAAAAGTCGAAGCAGATGCCGCGAGCTCGGTCCTTTTGGCTGTGGCAACTTTTGTGTCTGGATGGTTGGATGGTTGGGTGATAGATATTTTATTGCCGAGGTTCTGTGGCGAGTGGGCCGAAGACGTCCAGATCGAGATATGAACAAGTGGCAGGTCCACATAGATCCGGAGGGCCAAAGCTCCGTTAGCCCACGTTTCGTAGCCTTCGTCTAGCAGCGGCCACCTCTCAGCCCCATCCCGTTCGTTGAGAATGTCCGCTGCTCGGGCAAATGTTCATAGCTTCGTCTCGACCTCGCCTACGACCGTCTTCAAATTGGCGGCGACCGCCAACCTGCGCTTCGACTGGCAGCGCGCGGTAGATACTTTGCTTTTCGCCGACGTAAGACCTGCCCGCTAACGTAATCGCGAGCTCGAGCTGCGCTGCACGACTGGGGTCAGATCCGTCATCGTAATCTACGTATAAGCACCTGGTTGTCTGGACGCGACCGTGTCGAGGCTGTGCTCCAAATTGGCCCCCGCCGCGAGTCTCGCCGCCAAATTGGGTGCTTGGGTCATTCGGACAACAGAAACAGTTCGCGGCGCTGCGAACATCAATGCTCTTAACTTTGATCTCGGATGAGAACTTCCACCTCAGCGCATCTCACATCTGTCGCCCGGAGTCGCTGAACTAGGCGAACTGGGGCCGAATCTTCAGCTCGCGATTCGGTTTCTGAACCTGTGGTTCTTAAGGAAGAGGCGGCTGCGCTGGGCATTTGCCTCAGCGGGAACTATATTTTATTTGCATCGGGAATCATGACACATAAATGTCGAGTGGAATTTATGCATCGATGACTTGGGAACGCTGCATCCATCACTTATTAAACCTATTTCAATTTATTGGTCGAGCAGTAATAGTGATTTTAGAGAGGCGGCTAATACAGTACTCCATTGCGTAGCCAGGCGACGAACGGCGACCGAGAATCCTCGACGACGACGACCACCTCGGTCCTGTACAGTACGGTGTACATTTGGTCTCGAGTTTCGGTTAAATGGCGAGCGTAGTAGCATCAGAGTACTCTGCCCAGAGCAAGTACGGTGCAGATGAAGGAGCGATGCACTCCCCCCACCATATGAGGACGCTCGACATACAATCCTCTGCCATTGTACCGGTACCGGCGACAAAGACCACGCTGTACAGTACACTGTACAGCACGGGCGTCTCTTTGGATGCGCGGAAGATCCATACGGAGAGCAGCGCACACTCATTATATTGGACATGGGTGGTAGATTCTAGGACCAAGGTTTTCCATCTAGCAGAGCGAGCAGCTCACGAGGCTTCGCGTTCGAATTCCTGCGAAAATGCGTACAATGCGTACGTATCGAGGATAGCGCAGTAATTCGCAGCTCCTGGCCTGGAGAACGAGACTCATTTGGATGCGATGTCGGCCACGGGATGTCCGTTGTCGCCCGGCTCGAAATGCCAGAGACAGGAGGGAGCGTAGAAGCGGAGGAGGACAGCGAAGCGTATGCGGAGACGACGACGACCAACAATCGTGGGGCCTGGAAGACTGGACCGATATACGACGAGGGGGGCTCGGGGTGAGACAACAGCTCTGGCGCCGTCGCGACGGGGCCGAGAGGACGTGTGATTGGCGGGAGGATAGATCGTGGGCCCACCGTGGTGGCCTGTCAGGACGTTGCGACCCGTGATTGACTACGGCCCCGATAGGCTGCAGGCACTGCGTCAGTGCGCCAGGAAGGAAAGGCAGTCAGACAGAGAGACAGACGGGGCGGGGTTGGGGTTGGGGTTGGGGCTGGGGGAGGGGCTCCTTGCCCCTCCTCTCGCTCCGCCTTCTGCACCTTGGCAAAGTTCTGCGTGATCTCTCGTATGGAACCGTCGATGTCTCCGTCGTCGTCGCCGTCGTCCGTGCCACAACGAGATGTACAGTACAGTCGTGGAAACGAACCCCACGGCAGTTGGTCAAGGCGGGGGGAAGAAGAGGACGAGGACAGTATGGGGAACGGAAGCTGGAATATGTTACGGACCGGGTATACTGCCCGGTACTCCAGTCGCGAGTTAACGCCACCCGCCATGCGGGAGTGGATGGCCGGGCCGAGCCAAGCCAAGCGGGCGGCTCTGGGTCGGCCCGCTTGGCTCGGAGGTGGCTCGGAAGACGCCGAGCCGAAGCAGCCCCTTTGGGTCTAAGGCGTGAGGCGAATCAGGCGATTGTTTGTATTATCTTGCTGCCGATTCTCAGGACTGCATCCGTCGTCTACGAAGATTCGTACACCTGGCTAGTTTTCCAGCTCCTACTGTTTCGACGCCCGTACCTGGAGCCCGCCCGACATCCATTCAGGATGCATACTGGGGCAGCCCCGAGGAGCGTAAGAAATGGGGCCGGCCTATTTCGCCGCTACACTACACTCCCCTCGCAGAGTACCGATTGAGCGAGTGAGTGGACGAATGACCAGTCTTCGGTCCATGTAAGAAGACTCCAGCGGAAGGGAGGAGGAGGAGAAGGAGGAGGAGGAGGAGGGAGGGGCGGATGTCGGGTTGTCCGCTGTTGCCTGCTGCCGGTGCAGGTCGAGGGATGGTACAGGTAAACTGGTTCTGGTTCTGGTTGAACAAATGTGACGAACCCGGGACAGGCTCATCTGTGTACCTCGCTCCCATCATCATTCCGAAGAACGCTCTGCGACTGACAGATTCCTGAGAGACTACAGAAACACATAGAGGGGCGAGAGAGAGGGAGAGAGAAGAGTGAGTGAGTGAGTGAGCGAGTGGATGTGTGTATCTTTGTTCGAGTTGGCAATTCGGAGGGTCATTGCCTCCGCTAGCTCACAAAACCCTGGGTTTCGGGGGAGAGCAGCTGCATGAGGGCATTGGCTCGAGCGTCCGCCTCCTCCTGCGCTGCCGGGGCAGTTCACAAGGGCAGAGTGAGCGAGCGGGCTGGTGAGGTCCTCCATCCAATGTGCTGGACTAATGGAGGACGCCAAAAATTCTGGGACAGTTCAATCACCTAGATACTGTAATGGTTCGCAGTCCAAGTCGTATTCACTATCTAATCAGCAGCAGCAGCAGCAGCATCAACATCAACAGCAGCAGCAGCAGCAGCAACAGCATCTGAAGGATAGCAGCCCGCGTTCGGCGTCTGTTGTTGGCCAGCAGCCTCCGTTTTCGCGTCTCCATCCGCTCATGGCGCCCCAACATACATCGACGACGACAACATCGAACAGCGTAGGGCAGTCTCAGTCTCCGCACGGCGCATGGGCTTCGACCCCTTCGGACTGGGACTCGGCTCCCAACATGTCGGAGACAATGGAAGCGACAGCCAATGGATCCGCTCAGGATTACCATGGAGTCAGGTCATCCGGGAGTGACTGGGACGTGAAGATCTCACCGTGGGACTGGGAACAGATGAGTACCATCTGCGCTCCTGGTCGGGGTGGGGGTGGGGGTGGAGGCGGAGGCGAAGGAGCACATTCTTCCAAGGGCTCGTACTCTCTGAGCCAGAGCTCGGAGAGTGGATCCATCGGCGGTGGGGGAAGCGGAGGAGTAGGAGCAGCTAATCGTGTGACACTGCCAAAGATCGAAGCTGACCTTGGGAATGGTGGTGGCAGTCTGGAGTCCAACAGGATTGTTAACCTAGTCGTCGACAGACGTGCTCCTCCGCAGCAAAGCTCGGCGGCGAGCATTGACGATCACCGCAATCGACTGCTTCTGGGCTTGGGAGGAGTGGACGATGTCTCGTCGGAGGAGAGGAGGCGCTACTGCCAGGAGCATTGCAACGGCGGAACGGCAAAGATTGGAGCTGCCGACGCCATGATCGGCTTGAATCTGGGCAGGCGAGAGTACTTCGAAGACGCCGTCGCTCCAGCTCGCGCATGCGGAGGCGCCCCGACGCCCTTCGCAGTGTGCCCTCCCGGGAAGAAACAACGCGTGCAGTCTCCGGGCGTCCAGGTTCCTCGTTGTCAAGTGGACGGATGCAGGCAAGATCTGTCCTCGGCCAAAGACTACCATCGCCGTCACAAGGTGTGCGAGATGCACTCCAAGGCGTCGAGAGTGATGGTCGCGGGTCTGGAGCAGCGCTTCTGTCAGCAATGCAGTCGGTGCACAACCAACCCCCAATGCCGTTTTATTTTCTCCTATCTATCAGCTTTGCACGCAGGCTCGCTCGCTGAATTCAATTGCCCTCATCAGCGCCGATTATCATACTCCTCCCGCACGCTTAATTACATTCCTCCGTCTCACCTCGCCTCGCTCCAGCTCCTTCTTCCCTCTCTTTCCCCACTTCGTCCGAGTCCCTAGCGTGCGGCGGCTGCAGTCGACCGATCGATGCTGTCTTCTCACGGAGCCCCACTCATCGAACGGGGAGCTGTCTTGGAGCTCCGTGTTGACGTATTTTCTTTTCGTCTCCTACTGTCGCACGTGGTAACAATTGGGACAAAGTTGTGTGTCGTCCATGACCCTAGGTCGTTCTGGCTCGTCTAATTTAACATGCTCGACGGAGTTGGGCGCAATGGTTGGGGTCTTCCAGCTCCCTTCACTGCGGCCGGGACCTCCGATTTCTCCAAAGAGCTGGAAGAACCATAATCCTTGAGGATTGAGGATTGTGGTTCTTTTAGCTCGCCGTCTTGGCCAAAGAGCACTTGATTTTATTCCTTCAAAGGACGCGAGCTCATGTCTCGAGTGCTTTAGCGCTTGCCCTTGGTCTGTCTGTCTGCCTACTGGCGATCTCACTCTGTCCTCGTCAGTCTGGCCTCCATGCGCCTCGTCTTGATGCACGGAGCAGACGCAAGCTGGCCCTCGTGTCGTTCCCTTGGATGAAATCTGCCTGCAACTCCCTTGCTGCCAGCAATCCATGATCCCTTGTTCATGTTCGTATTTTTTGACGCTGTTTTCCTCTGTGGTCTGCTCAGCTTTCACGTGCTGACGGAGTTTGACGAGGGGAAGAGGAGTTGCCGGCGGAGACTGGCTGGACACAATGAGCGTCGTCGCAAGCCGCAACCGGAGTCGGCTGCAATCGCTTCTACGGGAAGTTCCGCTGCCCTTCATGCTGAGAGTGGTTCGCATGCTACAAGCGTCAACGGTGAAGGTAAATCACCAAAGAACATTCAAGCTTGCTAGGATCTGCGCAAACTCTAATCATGCGAACATTCACGAATTTTACCCCTGATTTTATTTTCACTGAGCTGCAGGCGAGTGTATGAAGTACGCCTGACTTCCATTCTCACTCAACTTGTGTCATGTGAGAACTCTTGTCGACCTTCTTGCATGGACATGTTGTTCTGGGCTGGCATATGAGAAATTATAAGGTCATTTTCTTATTCTGTGTCGGAACAAGCTATCGCAATGTAGGGAGCGAAGGAAGGAAGATTTACTTGGGCAGAAATGTCTCCCAGATTTGTAGAGATCTATCAAACTTGCTCAGAGAATTTGGCTCCTTCTTTTCTTGTGCATACCCTTGCGTCTTCCCCAAAACCATGTGAGGACATACCTAAAGGTATGAACAGAGCATGCGCATCTCCTGAACTGCCGAGCATTGATGGTGAAAATTGAGCATGCTTGGCTGAAGTAGAGGTAACAGGAGAGTTCGAAATCGAAGTTCATTTAAGACGGTTCATACTTCTCGAGCACCGTTTCCAAGCCGAAAGCCGATCTCAGCCACACCTTTGAATTATTCCACGTCTGATGCAACTCGTGTTTTCTTCTTTCCTGTTAGTCCAAGGTTATAATGAATCTACAGTTTTGTATTTTTCTTTGGATTCTCCTCTGGACACCTTATTCACCTACGGCTACTTAAGTCTGTATGTCATGAATCCTGTCGTTCTCGCAACTAGAACTATTTGAGGATGGAGAACCCAACTTTACCCGAGCTTATTTTATTGCCAGTGTACTAACGAGGTAAGAACAGAACTACTGGGTTTGGTTAGGAGTTCAGGTCTTCCAGTTTCCACGACCTCTCTCACTCATTTTGGCAATGGAGAACTGATATCTTCGGATACAGTCATGTACGGACGGTAAAGAGATGAATTTGATTCTCCAATACTAGAAGCGTGGTGATGTCGGAACAGGAAGTGATTTTTCTGCTGGACAGACTCAATATAGTGCGCAATTATTATGTATCATCAAGCAATATTCCTTTACCTACAATTTTGTATTCATTATTATGCCAAATCTTGCTTTCCACTTCCCTTTTGATAAAGGTTATGAAACTGAATCAAATCTTAGTAAACCTCAGCCTGGAAAGTGCTGCCATCAAAATGTACAGTAGTGACAGAGAACCACTTACTTCGCCTTCGAACCCCTGATGCCCGTGAATCCTAACCATGTTGACTCTAATACATTCTCGGTTCAGCGTTGACTTTTTTTGGGTTGTATAGACGGGCGTCAGTCTACTCGTTTTTTATGAGTCGTTATTGTTTGTGCAGAAGATAAGAGAGGAACCAATGGGTTGGCTGAGCGTGGATCCTACATGCCCTCACACAGAACTCCAGGGTCTTCATCTACGTCTGTAGAGGAGAATTCTGATGACCAATCAGGTTCAATGGGAACCACTCTGAAGTTGAATCAAGGAAGAAGTCTCTGGCAAGGAATATCGAGGGTCGAGGAAGCCGCGGGGTTAGCTTGCCAGGTTCCATGTGGAGAGAGGCAGCAGCCGTACCTCTCTAGTGCGACAACGCACAGAATGTTGTCAGTGATGCAAAGTCCCAAAGGGGTGCATCAGTTTCTGCTGGAAGGGTCTGGGGGTCCTGGTCTCACGTTGGCGTCGACTTCCGGTACCACGAGTGTGCTGTCTACGTTGGAGTCACCGACGTCAACAAGTGTATCAGGACTTTCGGACTCTGGGCGTGCTCTCTCTCTTCTGTCATCTCAGGCATGGGGCTCCAGAGGTGGAGCCCCGGGCTCAGTATCACTGGACCTGTCTTCACAGCCAAGTGTGGCACTCTTAGATCGCCTCATCTCTGAGAAGACGGGGGTTCCGTTTTCTCCACGAAGGCAGCCATCGCCGTACCATTCGGCATCCGCCACAGCAGAGAACCTGTTCCCTCTGCAGCCCCACTCCATGCGGGTCGAGGCCAGGGAGCAACACCGGAGCTTCATCTCCGGCATGAATCTGGTCGGATCTGGTTTCGACGGTGGAATGCTCGCTCTGATGCAGGGCAACCCAGACTTCCTTGCCGGCTACGGCGCGGTCAGTGTCGCCCAGCGTCCAACCATCGACCTGATGCGGCACCCATCGCCCCAGTCGCACAATAGCAGCACTCACCCCTCGGGTGTGCAGTCGGCCGAATTTTCCGCCCTCAGATCGTACGAGTCTTTTGAGTCCCTTCTTTAGGAGAGGGGCTCCGTTGTAAATCATTTCAGACCGACCCGTCGTTCTGTCTGACCCTTGCGATTAGATGCCGCTGGTCTGCCAGAATTGATTCAAATGTAAAACAAAGGATTTAGCAAGGATTGTCTATATATCTACCGGCTGTACTCGGGAAAGAGTAGTCTCACAGAATGTAGGGAAAATGGCCCCACAGGCTTCTAGGGAAACGGGCACGGACGTGCGTCTCTCAGGCTGATACTTACCAGTGCCCTGCACGCTGTCCTTCATTGTGATGCTTCACTCGGTTTGCCTGCAGCATTATGCCTGTCTGGTCCTCGATGATTGAGTGTCGGGAGGAACCGGTGCTTGGTGGCAACATCATCGTTCACGAGTTTATGAGCAGGCTTACTCAGCATCTTGTGACTAGGATATTACGGCTTCCCTTCTCCTGATTTTGGAAACCTCTCTCAAAGCAAGAACGGAGTGTGCCCTGGGGAAGATACGGCCTCAACTGTTCCCTCCTTTCTTGTAAACATTTAAGGAATTGCCTCCGATCTGAATGTGGTCTAATGGTGCCAACGGCGAGTAAACGGTGGTATGAATGGAAGAGATATATGTTGATTTAGGATACGATGTTAGCTTCTCATTGTCGTACCGCCGGCCGTGAGGAAAAATTTTAATCAATGCATGACCTGAGTTGCAAAGTAGGCACTAATATCTTCAGTATACTTGTGGGTTCTTATCTGTGGAAATGTCGACGTCATCCGTGACCACCACAAGTTGGAAGTCGTGAATGAAAGATCTTGTATGTCACCGTATAGAGGATGAATGTATAATCTTCATTCGAATTCATGCGTTCCTTTTCGTGTAAAATTTTGTGTCCATGTGTCCGCGAAAAGAATAGTTAAGTACAGTTAGCTGTGAGATGTTGTTCAAACAATCAACACATTTCAGAATTCCTCTTTTCACCGGGATGAAAAATGAACTGAAGTGACCAGAAATGGCTCATCTGCTCAAAAGTCCCCTTTTGTATCTACAACGTAGAAACTATCCGAAAACAATACAAGCACATCTGAAACTACAATTTATATTTATCTCAACTCACCCGAGGTAAAATATGCTACCAAAAGAAAGCGACCGTTACATACTGTCTTCTCCCTTCGCGTCTAATATCTCCAGCCAAAACCAATCTGTAGAAGTACATTGTGTGAGATACATTGTAGGAAGACAGAGAGTACAATAGCATATGCTCTTCTGTATTTAATCTCATCTTCTGGCAAATCTTTTCCGAGGAGGTTGGGAGAGGTCGAGAGATGTTATAGAAACGTAGTGAAGGAAAATATTCGACGCGACCAATGAAAGCAAATTTTCCCCCATGAGTAAAAAAATACTATAATAGCTCGTGAAGGGCAGATCCAAAGTGAGCAAAGGAAGAGAACCGAAGCTTGGTAACTGAACGTCTTCAGAGCGCGGGAATGCAAGAAAATCTACGTGATTCCATTTTCTACAATTCTTGAATTCCAGCGAGGGGCGGGCATGCCCCCCCCTGTGGATCCGCCCGTCTATATCTATTGTACATATACTAACAGTAAGATTTTCTTTTCGCTTTTATTGATCTTCTATGACAGTGACGCAGTGAGAGAGAGAGAGTAAGATGTTGTGTGAAGACTACGTGTTATTACAACGGGTATCAGAGCGAAGTTGAGGTTACAGGGAGGTATTGTTGGTGAGACATGACTGTCCAACTCAACCGTATGTGAAATAGGAACGGTTGTCCGATCAACATGGAGGATGATAAGACAATCATCTGATGTTATGATGGCAAACATTTTGGTTATTAGAAATTACAAATGATCAGTTTTTTGTATGCCAAAGAACTAGAGGATGCGATGCTTGATAACAAACCCGACACCATGTGGGATAAGAAACTAGATCGTTGTGCAGTTGATCTCATACGTAGTATTATCTCAATGGATGTGGCTTCACATATTGCCAATGAGAGCACAACCTTTGGATTCATCAAGAGACTTTCTGATTTGTTTGAAAAGCCTTCAAGTTCCAACAAGATTCAACTTCTAAGATGGGTATTTCAACTACAAATGACAGAAGGCGTGTCCTGCATGCGCATATATCTTGTATAGCGCATGTAGCCAAGTTTAACCATATCATGAATCAAATGAATTGCTCGCACATTGCTTGTTGATCTCTATGCTAGAGAGTTAGTCAACTAATGTAGAAATGATTTCTGGTCAAGAGAAGGTAACTCTCCACTATGTTCGTGATCACATCATTAGCAAAGGTATACGAAGAAATGAGCAAGGTGAAACAAGCAGATCGGCCTTAAATGTTCAAAAGGATCGAGAGAGTCAAAGGGATGAGATTTGAAGTAGATGCAAGTCAAGAGGACGGAATAAGCCTCGAACCAAAGGTGAGATAGAGTGTTGGAATTGTGGCAGAAAGGTTCATTTGAAGCGTGAGTGTAAGGCTTTTAAAAAGAGAAGAAGAAAGTAGACAAGTCCAACTCGGTGAATGTAACAACCAAGGAAGATTCAGATGATGCTCTAGTCTTATGTGTAGATAGTTCAATCGTTTCTTGGATTTTAGATTCAGGTGCTTCATTTCATTCTACTTGCAAAGAATTGATGAAAAATTTGGCAATTGGAGAAAAGGAAAAGTATTACTAGCGGATGATGGTCCTTTAAATATTACTCGCAAAATTAATGTTCATATTGAGTCATGCAATGCTCACAAATGGATATTGCATGATATTCGTTATATTCTTGGATTAAAGAAGAATTTAATCTTCGTGAGTCAACTGGATGCTGAGGGATATATGACCATCTTTGTAGCATCAAAGGATTTGTTACCGCATATGCAGATGATTGAAACCGACTTTTGTGAATATTGCGTGCTTGGCAAACAGAAGCGGATCAATTTTTCAAAGTCCGGACGAGATCGTAAGGAAGGCAAATCAGAACTTGTGCACATTGACTATGTCACTAGCACTAGTCCTATCTCAAGGAGGCTTGAGGTATTATACCACTTTTATCGAAAATTTAGCTTGCAAGATATGGATCTACTTTCTCAAACACAATTCGGAAGTGTTGGAGGTTTTCAAGATGTGGAGGTCAAAGGTTGACAATGAAATCGATCAAAAGCTGAGATGCTTTAGATCGGATAATGGTGGCGAGTTTGATGGAGCAAACTTCAAAGTGACATTGTGAGGAGCATAAAGCTAATCTAGTGCGGAAAGTTGCTAACCAATCACAAGAAAATGAGATTGCTGATAGTATGAACCAAACTCTCAATGAAAGCGCTAGGGCAATGTGACTTCACGCAAATCTTTCAAAGATGTTTTGGGCAGAGACAATCAACACATCGACTTATCTTATCATCCGAAGTTACTAAGTGGCGTTAGAATTTGAGTTGCCCAAAGATAAGTGATCAGGTAAAAGGATATCTCTATCTTTATTGAAATTTTTTGGATGCACAAACATACGTGCATGTGGATTCAAACAAACAGTACAAGTTAAATGTAAAAGCCAAGAAATGTATTTCTGTTGGATATAAATCTAAGTATTTTAATTATGGATTTTAGAATGGAAAAGTAAAAAATCAATAGATCCTGAAATCATATCTTAAAAAAAATGAATTATATAAGAAGTTCATATTCAATGAAGTGAGAGAGTAAATTGATTTGCATGATTTGAAAATCTCAAACAGTATGACTGAAAGTGAAAGTATCAAAGTTGATGCAATCCAATGAAATCATGAAGCCGATGATGAATCTGATGATGTTGTGGCCAAAGATGCAATCAATGATCAAGCAAGTGTCACTCCACAAGAACCAATATTGAGAAGTTCTACTTGAGTTCAAAAATCTAACACTATGTAACTATCTTTCCTCAATTATCTACTTTTGATCGATTTGGACTAGCATGAAGACTACAACGAAGCGGTAGACTTGGATGATGCGGTCAAGTGGAAGCAGACAATGAAGGAGGAGTTAAAATCCTTGAAAAAGAACAACACATGCACCTTGACTTAATTTTCAAAAAGAAAAAAAGCGCTACAAAATAAGAGATAAATGACAATAAGCGTAACAAAGTCGAGATTGATGATCAAAGGTTTCTTGAAAAAAAAATATCGATTACATCAAGGTATTTTCACATGTGATGAAACTTACATTGTTTTGAATTATTCTTGGTATTGTGGCAGTCAAAAATTTGCACCCTGAATAACTTGATGTGAAAACAACTTTCCTTCATAAAGATTTGGAGTAGCTAGTTTACATGATGCAGTCTAAGGATTTTGAAACTTAAGTACAGAAGGATTTTGTATGCAAGTTCAAAAACAACCTATATGGTTTGAAGCAAACGTCAAAACAGTGGTAGAAAAAGTCTAACAGATTCATGAATAGTCATGGATTAACAATGAAACATGTATCACTGTTGCTACTTCAAAGATTTTGATGACTCTTATGTTATTTTACTTTTTTATGTCAATGACATGCTCATTGCAGGTGCAAATATGATATAATGCAGCCCGTTGAAGCGACAATTAGCACAAAAATTTGAGATGAAGTATTTGAATGCAACAAATTAAATTCATGGCATGCATATTTGTAACACAAGGGTTTAGAGAGAAGTTCACTCGAAGATGGAAACGTAAACTCTGAAGATGACAGATATCAATAATAGTTTTCCTCTCCCTTATATAACTCTTATAAACAAGTACAAGAAAGTAAAATCTTAGTCTCATGATCCATCCTAGTGGATGGATGATGTGGCAGATGTCCATAACAAGCACACGGATTGCTGACGAGAAGCTCTCAACTAACACACTTAGTCTCAATTTGGCAATGTGATCCAATCATTCACATGCATAACATTGACAATTGTGACGAACTGCCGCTTCTCCTCGAACCATTGAATTATTTGCATAAGCTTCTTGCAAATTTTGAACTCATGGTATCCGAATCTTAACTCCAAATCTTAGTGGTGGTACTCTTATTAGTGCAAAACTTTCTCTACGTTAAAGGTTTGTTAACTTCATCGGTGTTGGACCAAATGGATCTCAAAAATTGCTTATTTGTTCACATTGTGTGACAGCATAAGGAGCCAAAATTTGTTAAGTAATTGCAATTGCTTTGTTCAATGTGAATGAATTGCTCTTCATCAACTGCTTTCAAATTTGATCCTTCAAGTTTTGTTTGAACACGTCCAAGGCTTTTCACTCATATTCATGATAAATATTTGAAGATCACAAAATTTTTCAATATATTCATGAATGTTTCTTTTCTACTTCAAATCTCACAAGTTTATTCTTGTAGTTTGAAGAGAGTCAATCTCTTGAAAATTTGCAGAAGTATTTTCTACATTTTTTTTCACGAAATGTTAGCTCGTTGTTTTGAAAGCATTTTCTCCCATGTTATGTATCATGTGAGAGATCTTATCTATGAGATAAGATCTCATGAACATTCCTGCAATATAATCAGAAACATGAAAATGAGATAATTGAATCTTCATCCTCATAATCTATACCTCTTATACTCACATTGCTCTACTCCTTGTAAGCTTCCATCTTATAAGATTTTTTCATTCAAAGCAAAAAATTTACTATATCTTCAATCATTTGAAATCGTCTTCTATTTGTCTCTACTGCATCAATAGGAATTGATTTTGATTGAACTTGAAAAGTTTGAATTTGAGGTTCAACTCCATCTTTTCAATTCTTTCTCTCTCTACTTTCTCACTCTC